ACCCAGGAAGCGCGGGCCACACCCTCGCTGGGGGGCGCTGGGAGCTGGCACCCTGCCTTTGGCGCCCGTCCCCAGCCTCGCGCTCTGCCCTGGAGGAATGGGCTCAGTAAGTGTTTTGAGGAGTCGTTGGGAGTCGGGGCCCGCGCGCGACTCGGGCCAGGCGCGCGGGAAGCCCGGTCTCGGGGGGAAATGTCCCTCCAGGGCTTGGCGATCTGCGCTGCCGGAGCCCCCCAGGCAAGATCCAGGCCGCTGCCGGGGTGGGCTGTAGATTCTTCAAAACCCTCCTACAGTTTAGATGTAGAGGGAGTAAAGCGTAGGCGACTTAGATTCTTTCGCTTTTGGTTTTGCTCTTGCTCTCCAGATAGCACAGTAATAACATCCTGTGCTGAACGCTGTCCTCAGCCACCCCAGCCCCTCCGAGGCTGGGACAGTTATCACCTCCCTTTCACAGCATCCCGGGCCCTCAAACTGCTTTTCAGTTTCTGGGCATTTCAAAGTGGGCTCTGGCCCTGGCCGGGTGGCTCAGTTGTTGGAGCATCCTCCGATAGGCCAAGGTTGCCAGTTCGATCTTTGGTCAGGGTGTATACAATAACCAACCAGTGAATGTATAAGTAAGTGGAACAACCAATCAGTGTTTCTCTTTTTCTCTCTCTCCCCCCTCCTCTAATATCAATAAGGAAGTTAAAAACAAAGTGGGCTCTGGCCTGACACACCCCCCAGGACTGGGGGGAGAGGGGCTCCTAATTTGGTTGTTTCATCACGTCTGGCTTCCAGGCCAAAGGAAGCAATTTGGAGAGAAGTGGTTCCTCAATACAAGCCCTGCCTAAGTTGTAATAGTCTGGGGATGTAATAAAGATTTTTATAACTGAATTGACACACTAAAATATCGCCACAAACCCTTACAGAGCTCACAGACAACACCGTGGCCTGGATTTTACTGTTCATCAGGCCCGGCAACTGAAAACTAAGCAATTATTTTCTGAATGGCAGAAAACACCTCTTAAAAAATTAATCTGTATTTTGAGGGCCTGCTGTGTACTGGAAAGATGCTCAAATGCTTTTTGTCTTAACCCCTCTTGTTTTACAACAGAAGCAGGATTAAGAAGTCCTTGGCCCAGGACCCTGGGGATCTGACTCCACTTCCTTGGTAAAGGCTAATAACCACTGTTGCTGCCGCCCCCAGGCCTGTGTGTGCCCCCCACCCACCCCAGCTATGGCCCTGGTCAGCATCAATGAACTGCCTGAGAACATCCTGCTGGAGGTGTTCACATACCTGCCCGCCCGCCAGCTGCTGCTGCGCTGCCGCTTGGTCTGCACCCTCTGGCGCGACCTCATAGACCTCGTGACCCTCTGGAAACGCAAATGCCTGCGTGAGGGCTTCATCCCGGAGGACTGGGACCAGCCTGTGGCCGACTGGAAGATTTTTTACTTTCTATGCAGCGTCCGCAGGAACCTCCTACGCAACCCATGTGCTGAAGGTGGGCTGCTTCCTTTCCTCCCTTCTTGGAACCCCAGGGCCTTTGCGCTTTCTGTGCCCATGCTACCTGGAATGTTCTCTCAAAACCTAACACCCACCACACTCCCTTGGTTCCACCTCATTCTTGTGGCCTCAGCTCAGAGACCTGCCCCAGTCCATCTAAAAACAGTGCTCCCTACCTCAGTCCTATCACTTAGTTCCTTCATAGCACTTTCCATAACCTAGAACTACCCTTTTCTCGTTTTACGTGCAAGTTCCAGGGGCCTGATGGATCTCACTTGCCACACTATATCCAGTATCCACAATGATACCTTCACATAGCAGGTGCTCAATATACATTTGTTGAATGAATAAACAAACTGCAGGTCTACCTTTCCCCCTTGAGCTCAGTGCAAGTTGCCTGTCATTTATAGAGGGCTTCCTCTGTACAGGCCAGGCACTAGCCTGAGCTCTCCACAAATGTAATTATCCTCCCATTATCCCAACTAGACAGACGAAAAACAGGATTTTGAGAGGCAACTGCAAGCACATCATTTAAGGCGCCTGAGTAGCTCAAGTTCTCTGGTATTTGCCAGGGTTTTTTCCCTTTGTTCAGTACCTACTAATAGCAGGCACCCTGCTCCTTATTGGGGCTGTGGCAGCAGCTGACTAAGAGGCATTGTTTGTAATATTTAGAACCCTATTTTCTCTTTAGCCTCATATGAATCCCAGGAATTGGCCAAATGATTAGGGTTAGCTCCATTTTATAGATGGGATTGTTAGGCCCCAAGCAGAATGAGTGTTTTGTCCAAAGATCCAGAAATGCCCAGCTGCTAAAGGCCTGAAGGCGCCTCTCAGAAGCCCCATAGTCAGATATCTCTGCTGGCCCCCGATTCCCCTCAGAAGCTGCCCAGCTGGGTCAGACACAGCCTGACAGAGCCCCCCTGCAGCCGCATACTGGGCACTGGGCCCATGCTTGGTGCAGCCCAGCTCCTGGATTTCTGTATTACCCACCTGGTTCCCTACTGGGGGACCGTGGGCACCCTGGAATAGGTATGAGCTCCTTGTACGGGGGCAAGGGAGTAAATTGGAAAAGCTCCCCTGGTGATTGTTCTGGAAAGCCTTGATGAGAAACTCTGCTGTTTTCTAAGGTCCTCTCATCTCAGTCTGAAGAGGGAGGCAGGAACCTGCTGAGCCAACCTGGTGGGGATCCTCCCACAAATACGGGGTTACTACACACCACCAACCAGAAGGCGCCCACTCTCCCAGTTATTACCCCTCCCACCCAGGGCAGAGGTTCCTATAACCACCAGCAAACCTGTGAACGGTTCTCACACCCCCTCAGATCTGTTACATAGTTAGGATGTTCGGGGGTGGGGGGATGTCAGTTGTCTACTTACTTAGTGGTCCCCATGGGGACAAATTCACATTAGCCAGTAAGAATGGAAGTACCATCACAGGCCCTTCATACTTCAGTGTTCTGAGAACTGAAACTTGGGTATTTCCCAGAGATCCTCAGCAACGGGGAATGAGGAAGGGTTGGTTTTTTCCCCAGCTCACGTTAGAAGTCAAGCTAGTCAGGGACAAAGTGGGAAGGAGAGGTCAGAGCTGATATGGTGGGGACGGGTGGGAAAGGGTTGGAGGAGTTGAACTTTGTCGGGGTATTCCAAGGCAAGGTTGGGGTACACACCTTGGGATCTGAGCATGAGCAAGCCCTGTGTTTCACCCTCCATCCCTCCCTCCCTCCCAGGGCCAGTGGGGAGGACCAGGCTGTACACTTATATTTACTCGGCTTCTATTTTTCCTAGAGGGCATGAGATCCTGGAAAATCGACGAGAATGGAGGGGACTGTTGGAAGGTGGAGAGCTTACCTGGAGCCCATGGGAAAGATTTTCCTGACTCCAAAGTCAGGAACTACTTTGTCACATCCTATGCGTAAGACAAACTGAACGAGCACGATGTGTTGGAGGAAGAGGGTCAGGACACCATCCACCAAATCCCAGGCCTACCTACATCAGGGCCTCGGTGAAGCTCAAGGGAGATGGTTCCAACACCAGCTCAGAGGCTACTGCCTCCTGGGGCAGAAGTAAACTCAGTGACTGGGGGGTGGGGATCAACATAAGGAGGCTGGGAACCCATGGGGCAGTTAGGCTCAGGGTGTCCACGGGCTGTCCATAACCTAGGCACGGAGTTCCTTGGGGCCCAGGAGACGGGCCTATGGACTGGGATCAGGTGCCACCCAGGCACAAGGGAGTCAGACTCCCTGCATGTTTCTCATGGGCCTATACTGAGGCAGGAGCCAGAGTCAGCACCAGCCAGCAGCTGTCCTACAGTGGTCAGGGGACACTGCTGGGTCCCCTGAGCCACCTCCCTGGGTCCAGGCTATGCAGAGCCCACCTAGGAATACAAGCCTTTCTTTCTGGTCCCCAGATTATGCCTCAAGTCCCAGATGGTGGACCTCAAAGCCAAGGGCTACTGGGAGGAACTAATGGACGTGTTCCGGCCTGACATTGTGGTTAAGGACTGGTGAGTGAGACTCGGTCCCATACTCCGCATCCTTCCCTTCTCCTGCAAGCACCTGGAGAGAGTGCCTGCTCTGTGCCCAGCAGTGTCCTAAGGCAAAGGTGGCTCTTAAAGCCAGGCCAACCCAGCTGGCTCTCCCACCCCCCTGTGGACAGACCCAGCACTTGTTTACCCAGCAGCACCTCCTGGCTTCCCCACCACTGTATCAGCAGGAGACCTTAACCCCAGTTTACAGATGGGGAGACTGAGGCCTACAGATGAGTTGTCACGAACAGGCACTAGGCCTACAGACAACTTAAGACCTAGGCTTCTTGGACCTCACAGATGTGCACATGCCTTCTCATGTACCTCCTCTGCCCCCTTTCACCATTCATCCCACGGCTATTCCTCAAGCTCCTCTCTGCAGAGCTGTGCCAGGCTCTGCCTCGGCCCATGGCAGAAGCAGGACCCTGGTTTCAGCCAGGGCCACGATTCAGGGTGGAGGGGTGAGGTTTAAGGGGTATGCAGAGCTTTGGGAGGGGGGACAGCAGGGCTGAGCAAAGAGTGAGCTCTGTGCCAGCCCCTGCCACACAAGCCACCCCTGGAATCTCCCACTGAATCCACAGCCCGGGCCTTTATCTCTGTAGAGAGCCTTTTTCTTTTTAAGGTGAAATCTCTGAAATACCCAAAAGGGTTACCCTTTTCTCAGACAGAGTAACTGAGGCCCAGTACAGACAGACTGCTTACCCTGGGGGTCCAGGGAGCACAGAAGATGGGCCTCAGAGGCTGCACAGGAAAATGAAACTCAGCTCCAATTTGTAGGCCTGCTGCCTTCCCACTGCCAGGGCCACTCTTTGCCTTGGGGTGCACAGTCCTGAGCCCCAGCCTCCCCTAGGTTTGCCGCCAGAGCAGACTGTGGCTGCACCTATAACATCAAAGTACAGCTGCTCTCAGCCAACAACATCCCCTTGGCCTCCTTCGAGCCACCACCTGTGACCATCGAGCAGTGGAGCGATGCCACGTGGACAGAGGTGAGGCCTTAGCTGCTGGCCTGCCATCCGCTGCCCCCAGGGCCTGGAGTGCTGCCAGCTCTCCCACCTGGGACTCTTCCCTTCTCCTCTCCAGCTGAGTGGTCACCCCCTCTCAGCCCCCCCCAGTCCTGGTGGTCACTTCCTCTCCCCTCCTTCCAGGTCTCCTATACCTTCTCAGACTACCCTCCAGGCGTCCGCCATGTCTTCTTCCAGCATGGGGGCAAAGACACCCAGTTCTGGGCAGGCTGGTATGGGCCCCGCGTCACCAACAGCAGCATCATCATCAGCCCTAAGATGACCAGGAACCCAACCAACGCCTGCCATAGCTCAGCGGTGACCCTGACCGATCAGGAGCAGGAGCGGGGGCAGGCGCAGGGGCAGGGGAAGGGGAAGGGGAAGGGGAAGGAGTGCACTGACTACTTGCCCTCCGTGCTTCATTTCTACAAACGCTTCTAGGGGCAGAGGCAGGGGAAGGAGCAGGAGGATGACGACCTACCCTCCCCACCTGATTTCGACACCCCCCCCCCG